CTCTTCAGGCTTCCCACTAATGCTGAAAATGGCACCTGGGTTCTTTTTTTTTTTTTTTTTTTTAAAGGATATTTATTTATTTGTTTATTTATTATGTATACCATTCTGTCAGTGTGTGTGCCTGCAGGCCAGAAGAGGGCACCAGACCTCATTACAGATGGTTGTGAGCCACCATGTGGTTGCCGGGAATTGAACTCAGAACCTTTGGAAGAGCAGGCAGTGCTCTTAACTGCTGAGCCATCTCTCCAGCCCGGCACCTGGGTTCTTATGTATGTTAGGCTGTTGTTTACCGCATTACACAGCTTTTAAAGGCATTTCCAGGTGTAGCATTTCTTTTCCAACGAGGTGAACTGAAGTATTGGAATTAAGGCTGAAATAAATATATTTAAGATAGTGTTGCAAAATTAATCCATAAAGTAAATAGGTTTGCTTATATAACTCCTGGGTTGGGGAAGTTATCTATAATCCCTTCAGCATTTGGTCCAAATGCACTTAGTCAAAAAGAAGATGGAAAAAAGAAAAAAAAAGAAGGTGGAAGTATTCCCCACTTTATATGGTCAGAGGAATATGGCAGTGTTGGAGTGATTTGTTTTTGGACTAGGCCAATTTTAACTTGAGTGCTTTTCTTGTCTCTGTGGGGTTATTAAATGAGGAGGTAGTTGATAACTTTGCGTGGTGACTTTAGTTCTTATTTCTGCCTTTTGAGCTCCACAAATAAGCATACACTTGTTTGTTGCTCTCTTTTTAAAAAGCAGGCTTGTTTTATGGTTCTTATGTTTTTACTTTTAGTTATTTTTATAAAGAAACATCTTATTTATATAATAGGAATAATGAACCTCAATCTCCTTCTGTAAATGTCTTAGAATTTGCCTTTTCCATGCCTGCTCCACATCTTAGCTCACACGTGTTGTTACCTCTTAGATTGATGGGTCAACCTTGAGAACGATCTGCATGCAGCATGGTCCACTGCTGACATTCCATCTGAATCTAACCCAGGGCACTGCCCTGATCCGGTACAGCACCAAACAAGAGGCAGCCAAGGCCCAGACTGCACTGCATATGTGAGTACTGTACCCTTCGTGCATCCAGACCGCACACATGATGCACACAGGAGTGCTCTGGCCCCGCTTAACAGAACAATGACGGAACCATGCACACGAGAACCTCAGTCGTGTGTACATCTGCAGATGCTGAGGTGGCCGTCCTTCTTCCTAACTTTGTTTGCATTGTTTAGTGTATATCATAGGCTCAAACTTTGAACTTCAAATGTAAATAATTTGTATAGTAAGTAAATTGTACTGCAAACAAAGCCAGTGTTTATGAAAATTCTACCACTACCTGGACTACCTGGCTTTGTTGGACTTCTTGAGACAGGGTTTCTCTGTATAGCCCTGGCTGTCCTGAAGCTCATTGTAGAATCAGGCTGGCCTTGGACTCATCTACCTGCCTCTGGCTCCCACGTGCTATGGTTAAAGGTGTGCATCACCACACCCAGCCCAAAAAAGAAACTTTTGCATGAAGTGGATCAGGGTCTAACCATTCTCTACCCTGGTGGACAGAAAAGTGTTGACTCCCTTGGGCAACAGACACTGTGACAAAAATCCCCAGAGAACACAAACAAGTGACAGTGAGGCCCCAGCAGCCAGTCCATCCCCTAAATGGAACGGTGCTCTAGGTGCTGGCGCTGGCTGGCCTGATATTAATGGGTGTCATTCTTTACCTCACGTGGAGTTTAAAAAAAAAAAAAAAGAAAAGCTGACATTCTTTTTGCTTTTGTAAGGCTTGAAGTTTTTTGAAAATACTTTAGATTCACAACGAAATTGAGATGATGGGACAACAACTTCCCATAATAATCCTGCCCACTCAATGATGCCTTTCTCCATTATGAGCACCACTTACTGAAACGGCCCATTTGTTAGTTTATGAACATTCATTGGTGCCTGATCCACCAGAGTCCACAGTTTACATTAGGGTTAAGTTTACTTCCTGAGTCACTGGTGGTGGTTAGTATGAACAAATATATGCTGATATATCGAACATCACAACTTTTATGTCCTCTGTGGTCTAGATTCTCTCTCTCTCTCTCACCCCATACAGGTGGACTGGAGATGTAGCTCAGTTGTTCTTGCTTAGCATGCATAAATCCCTAGGTTCAGTCTCCAGTACTACATAAACCAAACATGATGGTGCACACCTGTAATCTCAGCATTTAGGAGGCAGAGACAGAAGGACAGCCTGGGCTATGTAAGACCCCCATCTCAATCAGTCAGTAAGCAAGCAAGCATGTAGTCCATGCAGTGGCAGAGGGCTGGCAGCAGTGATGCCATGTGTTCTTCTGGTCTCTGAGATCACATTGCTCTCTTCCTTTTCCTCCAGGTGTGTGTTGGGAAACACTACCATCTTGGCCGAGTTTGCCACTGAAGATGAAGTTAGCCGCTTCCTGGCTCAAGCTCAGCCGCCTACACCTGCAGCAACCCCAAGCGCACCTGCCACAGGATGGCAGTCACTGGAGACCAGCCAGAACCAGGCAGACCCCGTTGGACCTGCGCTGAACCTTTTCGGTGGGTCCACCGGGCTCGGGCAGTGGAGCAGCAGCACTGGTGGCAGCAGTGGGGCCGATCTTGCTGGCACTTCCTTGTGGGGTCCCCCAAACTATTCTTCTAGCTTGTGGGGAGTTACGACGGTGGAAGATCCCCATAGGATGGGCAGCCCTGCTCCTTTACTACCTGGTGACCTTCTAGGAGGAGGGTCGGATTCAATCTGAACTTAGAACTTTCAACTCTGACCTCGTGACCTTTTTTTGGAACAGCAGCAGCACTAACTTGACCTTTTCGTTTTTTTTTTCAACTTGCAATAAATACATTTTTAAAAGGAAAAAAGAAAACGGAGAGAGAAGAAAGGTGGGTCATTGACAGACTGTCTGAGCACATAGTTGCCTCCCTTAAAACTTCAGTTTTTTCGTTTGGAATATGAATCCAAAAAGAGAACATATCACTCTTGAAATACTTGAATCATGAACGCCAACCTAGAAAGACAATGTGAAGCAAGTACACATACCATTTAAATTTAAACACAAAAAAAATTAAAAAAAATTAGTTTCTAGTTTTTCACTTTTTTCATGTTATATGGAAGTTGTTGCTAAGAAACATATATACTGAAAAAAAAAATAGCTTTTTAACTTTGTTTGCACTGGGTGTGTTTCCGTCCTTAGGTCTACCATGTTTGGGTGGGAGGGAAATTCAAAAGAATTGTTGGGGGAGGGGGGAGGGAAGACTTGACGGAGCCTCACTTTAAAAACAAAAACAAAAAAACTTTAAAAAAAAAAAAAGGAAAAATTTTGTGATTGGCTGGTTGATAAATACCAGTGTGTTCTGGCACATGTAACTGCCCAGGCATGCTCGTTCTGGTATGTGTGTGCACGTGTGTTCATGTGCATCTGTGTGCATCCTCCTCTGTCTCTATGTGTGTGCCTGCGTCCTGCCTTCCTCATCTCACCCCACCCTGATTTCTCAGAAAGCTGCATTGCTGACAGTTCGCAGGCTGGCTGGCCGGCCATCTGCTTTTTATTTTTTTTAACTATGAGAACACAGGAGCACAGGGGGCTGCTGCAACTCAAGCCACTTCTTCGGGCTGCACTGAGACGGAGGGTGCTTTTCAATGAGAGCAGTAGCCAGAGCGCGAGGTTCCCCAGCCTTCCCTTGACCTAGCAGCAGAGCGAAGCACTGCCAAGGCCAGCAGTCGGCGGGAGGTACCTCTCAGAGCACCTGTTGCTCACTTCTGTGCTGTGAAATAAGCGGCCGCTGAGCACACGGGAGTTTTAAGTCCCAAGCAGGCATTTTTTGCTACTTTGAATGAGAACAGAAGATTCCGTAATTTTTAAATCGTGTGATGTTTCAAAAGCAGAAAAGCTGTGTTCCCACTTTACAAGTGATCAAGTGTGAGAATTTTTTATAAGGAATCAGGTAATGCAAATTAAATATTCTTATTGGTTCTCGTTATCATTTGAGGAAAACGGCAAATTGTGAGCAGCCTCCTGGAAGCAGCGCAGCTCCTCCCTCTCTGCTCCTCTCGCTGAGCATTACCTGTGCCAGGCCGTGGCGTGTTACAGCACCAGGCCATCACTGACAGAAACGTTTACTTAACGAATGTTCTTAAACCAGTGTGTACTTCAGGCTTTTCCCCTTGTTTCTCTGTGTTGTGTTTCCTGTGTATGTGGTTTTGCTTAGGCAGAAATAACTTAGCAAAGACTTAAGTATTGCACCTTGTTTTGGTTTTGACCTCTTTTATTTTTCTTTCTTGTAATGTTTTTTTTTTTTTAATTTTGGTATTTAAAGACTTTTTTTAAAAAGCATCAATGTAGTAGTTCTCTGGGCCGAACAGGAGGCAATGTTTAATCCACAGTTATCAACAACATGTATGTACTATGTTGGAATCAAAATATATCAAACTGCTTATTGTAAAGAGAGTAAAAGCAAACCTGAAGGGGAATCCTTACATACAAAATAGACGGTGGGCGGGGGGTGGGTGGGGAGATGTGTGCGGGTAACATGCTAGCACTTGTGTGGATATCCCAGTCTGCTCGTACTGTTTGTTCAACATGAAGTGCCGACATTCTGTACCAGCAATTACCTGCCCATTCCAACCCCTGGTGGGAGCAGACCTCTGCTGTCCTCTGTGACTTGCTGCTATTGAGGACAAGGGAGTTTTTCTTTCTTTAGCATCTTCAGTGAAGGATACAACAATGCCTAATGTATTTGACTTTCAGCTTGTGTATTTGTGTAGGTGGGTAGGGTGATACGGATAGGAAAATGAAAAGCAACAAAAAAACAACAAACAACAAAATTGTGTTAAGTGGCTTTGTGAGACAGTGAGTGGGAAATTCTGTCCTCCTCTCGGCCTACCCTGTTGAGTATAAACCTGGCTTCAGAAGAGATTGACAGGCTTTGTTCCCGTGGGCGCTTGTGCTTGCCAGTCTAGGAGCCCTGCAACACCTTGTTCACAGGGACTCTGCCTTCCTCCTGCTTTCTGGTTTCTATCACCACCATCCCCTTCCCACCTCTGCCCCTACAAAATGTCTCTTTCCAGCCCCACTGACTCTTAGTGTTGGAACAGAGCTCTGTCGTGGATGGTGATGTCCAAGTGAAGTGCAGCTTATATTCAGATATCTGCAGACTGAAGGCTAAATCTTAGCATCCCCAGACTCCCAAGAGCCTATGGGGATTGTCCACTGCCGCTCTTGGTTCGTTCGTGGCCCTGCCTGCCCTCTCCTCCTCCCCCTCCTCCTCTTTATGCCTGTTGGGTCCTTGACCTGCACTATGGCTTAGTTGAGTTCCTTACGATACTACGGTGAAAGCCGGGTGCTAGAGCCCCTCTTGTTTACAAGACATAATGAGGGATTTGAAATATGTAAAAATAAACACGAGAAGCTAAAATGTTCTTCCATCATAAGCTTAAAGGGAAAAAAAACGTAAAAACTTTAAAAAAAAAAGACCAAAAAGTGCGCGTGTATATATATATATATATATACACACACATACATATATATATATATATACACACATACATATAAATATATATTTTAGATGAAGACTAACTCTGGGAGCATTTAACAGTGTTTTTGTTTTGTTTTTAACATTTATTTTCCTGCTTTAAAATTTGCGAGCATTCTCAGGAATTCTAGGGTAGGCAGCCAGTTTTTTGAAGATGGTTTATTTAGCCGTATCTTATCCTAATAGACAGCTGTTTCTTTCCCGTTAGTAAACTTTTACAAGTTCCTGAAACTTCAAAAAGTTTAAATGATTTTTACTTACAAAAATGTAAAAAGAAAAGTCTCCAAATGTTATTATCATACAGGGGGTCACACATTTTAAGATACATAGAAATATTTTTTAAAAATTAACCAATTTAGCAGCAACAGGTAAATTCATTTTCTTAAAAACTGTGGGAGAAGAATCGGGTTCTGTGAGCGCTGTCATGGCCTCACTTGAGACTATGTATACCTGAATGGGCGGGTGTTTGGTGTACATGAGTAGGATTGCCATGACACTGTTAACTTCTTCTAAGGCTGGACTGACATCTCCCCAGTCCTGTTTATATTCTCCGATGCAACCCTTCTCCCTGTCTCTCCAGCCCCATCAACAAAAGAAAGGAATAAAGGAAGAAAAAACAGCTTAAGAAAAAAGAATTGGCTCTAAACTGTGTAAGTAGTGCAGTTGTTGGATTGCTGAGAATCTGTGTAAAGAGTTAGGAAATATTTTAAATAAATCTTAAGTATAAGCATTACTAAAGGGAGATTACCTATGGACTCTTCTGTTCATGAAGAATGTCTGTTTCACCTCCGTCTGCTACAGTAGGAGAAAACAGAAGAATCTGACAAGGAACGAGTGGTTTTACTTTGTTTTAGCTCCCAGCTACTGTTGTGCTTGTTTTAAACGCTGTTTTGAAGATCTGCTGCTTACTGTCCCCATCCTGGGTGGTGGAGATGTGGAGTGTTTCCTTTCTATTTCAGTGATACTGAATTCTCCTTTTGTATTCCCTCCTGGGGCCAGAAGTCGTGGCCACAGCTTCTTTCAAACTTTAAGCTTCCCAGTGGGAAAGAAACTCCAGCTCCACAGGTAAAGTGAATGGGTGGGGTTGCTGCCTGCATTCTCTGAAACCGCTTTAGTGCCTTCGTACATACACCCAGACATCCTAAGTAGGGGACAAGTGTGTATGTGCATGTGGTCCAGTCACTCCACAGTTAGTAAGATACTTGCCTGTAAAGGAAATTGGAGTGTTTCTGGACAGGCCCCAAAGGCAGTGGGCTAAATCAAAATTAAAAAAAAAAAAAATTGAGGAAGTTAAATACATTTTTTTGTCTGATAATGTGGGATGCCAAGTTCTTTCCTATGTTGTGTGCCCTCCATAGGTGCTGACTTTTCCTTGTGTAGAAGGGTGGCAGTTCCAGTGATGGGGAAAGTGTTTTTGTGCCGGGCCAGTGGAAGAAGGCTCCTGCTTCTCAGCTTCTGTTTTCCTGTCTTCCTCCTGCCCCTCCCTTCTTCCATTTGTCACCTTTCTGGAAGCTTTTGTTAGTGATTGGCAGTGAGCTAAGAAGAGGATGTGGTGAGGGTATCTAGAAGGTAGAAAGCCTTCCCTTCCCATGGTATTCTTTAGCAAAAACCCTGTCTACCAAGACTTTAGGTGACTTCGTTCTACATGAAGATCAATGAGCATACCCTTCCAGCACGTTCTGGCATATATACCGAGGCTTGCTAGTCACCACTATTTAGATTTGTTTTGTGCACATTATAAGCATGTAAGTGTGAGCTTTCTGTTTTATACTAGGTGGGTTTTGTTTTATTGGGTTTTTGTTTTGTTTTGGTCTTGTTTTAAATGACTCCCCCACCCCAACCCCCATGCCCCGACGGTTTCTTTGTGTAGGCCTGGCTGTCCTGGATCTCGCTCTGTAGACCAGACTGGCCCCAAACTCACAGAGATCCACCAGCTGGCTTTGTTTTAAATTATTGGTTAGTGGTAGGTAGACGTATATATGTCTCATGAGCATCACAGACTTGTTTCTGTCTACCATATGAGTAGCCAAAAGAAAAGCACAAGTGGGGGAAAGAGTTGTCTTCCATCACTCGGGAGAACCTCTGCTGCCGATGAGACCCAGTGCCATGACCCCATTTAAGGGTTGAGAAACAGGTCTCTGGTACCTTGTTTGGGAAAAGAGAGAGAGAGAGAGAGAGAGAGAGAGAGAGAGAGAGAGAGAGAGAGAGAATTTTCTGTCTCTTCTCTCAGCCCTTAATCCTTGAACCTTATTTTTCATTTCCAACATTCTTAAGAATGAACTTAGCAGTACAGCAGTGCTAATTCATAAAACAACAGACTCAAACTGTATTCTCCCTCAGTGTCCCTGTAAAACATCACCTATGTGTTGGCATTCAGTTAGTTATTTATAGCCAACAGGATTTGTATCGCAATGGCTTGTGTTCTAAGAATTTTCCCACTTCCGTTGTGAATGTAGCATGTTCAAACTTGAATGTGATCTAGAAGATTAAACGTGAGGGGAGAGAGGAAGGGGGAAGAATTCCTGCTAAGAACTCGGAAGGGCTTTCCCAGTGTACCTACCAGAGACTGAACATCAACTTCCTGCAAACATCTCTCTTCTCGGAGTTTGTGGTGCTGGAGAGAGAATCCAGGACTTTGCCTACACTAGGCACTAGGCGAGCACGCTCTATGCCTGAGCCACACAGTTCCTCCAGCCCTTCTATCACTGTTACCCTCTTCTTAGAAGGGATGTGGTTTGTGTAGTGTTAATAGTCAGATTCTTCTTCGACCTCAGATGCTGTGTACTTTCTAAATTATTTTCTCATATTCTGCCATTTTGACTCTTAGTGTCTCTATGCTGAGCAAAACGTGTGCACCAAGCCTGCTCTCCTGTCCAGTTTCATAGGGCATTTTCCGCAGGCCTGGCTACAGTAGCCATCTCTAAGATGAGGCACAGCGAGTCTTTGTATAAAGAAGGTCCCTTTTTTCCCTGCCCCCTTTTGAGTTAAAATTCAGCCTATACAGCCCTGCCATTTGTTGTTTTGGATTAGAGTTTTTTATTCTACATATAAGGTCTTCAACTAAGAGCAGAGGCACAGTCTTAGCTGTGGTTGTTTGTTTGTTTAAAAAACTTTTCTTCAGTGTTTTTGCCAAATCACAGCCTGTGTCGGTACATTAGCTACACTTCCGATGTCACTGCAAAGAGAAACCTTGCTCCACGATTGTGTCTGTCTGCAGCTAGGGTTATTCTAGCCAGTGTGCAACTGTCTGTCTTTAAATCCCGATGGCCATGCAGAGAACCTTCGCTCTTGATCTACATCATCAGTCTATAAGAAAACAAGAATGTTCCCAGAGTTTGTGTACTCCCTGTAACAATGCCCTCTAGGCTTATTGCCGGTGCCAAAGTTACGCTGTCATCAGAGATGATCATCATCAAAAAGTGTTTTTATTCTCAATCTTAAATTTGACACGGGATACCATACCTTCTTTAGATTTGAAATGATCGACTTCAAGAATCTAAAAATACAGTAATAATAAAACTAAACAGTGGTCCAGGTTTGATGACACACACTTTAATCCCAGCACTTGAGAGGCAGAGGCAAGTGGATCTCTCTGAGTTCAAGGGCCGCCTGGTCTACATAACAAGTCTCACAGAGACTGTCTCATAAAGCAGAAATTGAATATCAATCCTCACTAAACTGCCGACAACATCTTCCCCAGTCCACACTGCCAGAGGAGGACATAAACAAGATAGAAGAAAGTGAGAGGCACTAGTCAGTGGAGAGCTAGCTCCTACCAGGTCAGCATCTACTCTGCCCCTTGTGGATGGCCATCCTGACTGGGTCCCGAGCAGTCGCGAAGTATTTTCCATCATTTGAATGACTTGGGGCTTTTTGTCATTGTTGGTTTTTTTGAGACAGGGTTTCTCTGAAGCTTTGGAGCTTGTCCTGAAACTTGCTTTGTAGACCAGACTGGCCTCGAACTCACAGATATTCACCTGCCTCTGGCTCCGGCATGCTGCCATTTAAAGACAGTAGCCACCGCCGCCCTGCTGAATGGTTTTTAAGATAGTAGCAAAGTGACAGAAACTGCTGATGTTTGCCTCTTGGCATTTAAATAGCTCTTTCTGGTAAGGTGGGCCCATGGCAGGAAAAGGGCCAGTGGCTCTGCAGAGCTGAGATTGTTCCTCATGACAGATTTACCTTTCTATGGGCGGGGACAGGCCAGGTACACTTTCATAAACAAGTGTTCTTTAGTTTTCATGCTATAAGTAATCAGTACTTCGGAAATAAACTCCCAGTTACAGTTGACCCATTTCCAGCCAGTATCAGTAAATTGGGATGACTTCTTCCAAAAGGGAAATCCTTCCTTCCTACATTTCTTTCCCTTCCTGACTTCCTGGACCTTCTGGTGGGTTATTCAGTTCTTCTTGGGCCACCAAAAGGGTAGCCCTCTCCTGGGGGTTGTAAAGGGACTGGAGGCAGATGAAACAGCCTTACTTTTGTGACTGGCCTTAAGGCAGGAAAAGGTGGTAGATGCAGAGTGTGTATGCCAAAAACAAAAGGGGGGATCTTTATGCAAAACTAAATAGACCCTTGGGAATCCTTCAAGAGAGGTCACATACCTTGTAAAGGTAGGATGGTCACTCACCAAGTGATAGGTTTTAGCTTGAAACTTCTTTTTGCCAGAAGTTTGGGGTTATGTTACAATAATTGTGTTTAAAACACTACCCCCTTTAATTCTTTCCAAGGAATCTCTTAAGTGTAGTTCTTCTGAATGTGCCTTTGTCAGTCCAGAGACCAACCATGGCCTGTCAGTCTCCTGGCAGCCCCAGGGACAGCTGTTGGATTTTCATGAGCGTCCATTTTGCATGGTGTGGTCATGCTAAAGGGATTCTGGGTCTTGGGCCTGGAGGTTATGAGCAAGGCTCAGGTTAGTCCAGTACAGGTCAGCTGTCTACATCTGCATTCCCTAGTTTGTGTGTGTGTGTGTGTGTGTGTGTGAGAGAGAGAGAGAGAGAGAGAGAGAGAGAGAGAGTTAGTTTCTGTAAGCACTGGAGCAATTGGAATGAGGTGATTTTGGTGACCAGTTCATGCATGTAAAGAAGGCATTTCTGGCTTTGCGTTGCAGAAGGTGCATTTTTTCACCCTCTGCCTTAAGAAGCCACGGTGTTCTCAAATGCAAGTCACAGCAATGTTGTTATTTATGTGAACAGGGTATTTATTGCATGCAAGAAAAAAGGTTTTGAAAGAATTGAGACCAGTGTTTAAAAAAGAAAAAACTCTGAAATCATATTGTAGTTCTTGAGATCTGTTGTAGTTAAATCTAGAGATGTGTAGTCTCTTTGCGTGTTTCATGTTGGTTTTCAACGACCCCACCTCTCCCACTCCGTATCCAGTGGATGCCAAGGGCCCTGTCCACCACCCTCAGTTCCTCCGCAGAGGAAAGTACTCTCCTGGGTTCCTTCAGCTTCCTTCAGGAAGACAGAGGGAGGCTGCGCTCACTCCTGGTTGCCTTGGGATGTATTGTTATGCAAATGTGAATTTCACTAGAGGTTGCTGGGTTCTTGAGGGGGTTTGTTTGTTTTGTCAACAAAAACAACAAAAGGTCCAGACGTGGTCATCCTTGCTCCTTTTTGTAACCGGAATTTGTAACTATGCATTTTCTGAAAAGGGGAAAGGCGGGGAGAGGGGAAAGAAGTCGATCTGCATCTTTATGTTTTTCCAGTTTCTGTGTCCATGGTATCCTCATGTCTGAGAGGGAAGCGGAGGAGAGGCTCGCCAGGTCAGCATAGTGAGGGCAAAAGGGACCTCCCAGATCCTGCCCTTTGGCAGGTCTAATTTCGAAGCAAATGCTGGGGGGTCTGCCATGCCTGTCCACCATTGTGGTGCAGGACTCTTGGTACTGGCCATGCAGTGTTAACCCAGGGCAGCCGTGGAAGCTTACAGGCTCCAGTATTCTCTGAACTCAGAACACTTTCAAGCTCAGGAAACCATGCCGCACTCTGCTGACCTGAGAGTTCACTTTACATCATTCTGAAAACTCCTTCTCTTATACATTTCTTTGTTGTTAATCATTGTGAATGGAACCATTCCTAATTATGAGCTGAGAAAGAGGGCTGTTGCCTGCTGTTGACTGACAGGCAAGAAAAAAAAAAAAAGGCTTCCCTTCCCTGTTCTCTATCCCTGATCTCTGCTTTCCTGTACTGAACTGGTGGTGCAGTGAGGTGTGGGGCACCGGAAGGCCTTTGTACTTCCTCTTCTTTGTTCTAACAATTCTTTTGTGGAGTTGGACTGTGATAAATCATGGCACCTGCATTGCCCTGGTCTAGGCATTATTACAACACACAGTATCAGAAGCAAGAGCCGTTTAGCCTGTATCGTGTTTTCCACAGCAATCTCTGTTATGTTCACAGTACTGTAACGAGTGACAGACTTGATCACAGTCTCCTTGTGTCTGTGCGAGGCTGCACAGGCATAATCTTATCAGGGTTCCAAATCTGCTCGATTGCCTTTAAACAAAAGCAAAACAACAAGAAAATCCTGATGTTTCAAGTGTCTGACACAAAATGATACCTCAAGGTATATTTCCCCTGCAATGTAACCCCTTCACTCCTCTCTCCTTTTCTGACATCAGTGAGCTATTCTTTATAAAATACGGATGTGTAAATAACCAGATAAGTCTTTGAAACATTTTCTTTGCTGTGAAAATAACCCTAAAATATGATGTTTGCATTTTAAGCCATCAGAAGTTTCAGATCTGAGTTCTTGTTGAAGAAGAAAAAGCAGAACAGGTCAGTGGGGTAGCTCTGGGTTTGTGGGATGGCTGTTTTCTCGCAGTGTTGCTCCCCCCCACAGCACAGGACAGCAGACCACTGGCTATGTGTGCCCTAACTAGGTGCCATCTAGTCCAGCACCAAGGCTCTTTCACGCGTCCCATCCCCTCCAGGGACTTGAGTTCTCCACCCCTTTTTGTTCACGAGCACACACTTCTTTCCCTTTAGTGTGGTTCTTTAGGTCCCTGTAGAGTTAGTCCCTGGTACTGCAGTCTGTCCTGTGGCTTTTTCAGCAATGCTCTGGAAGTATGTTTCTTACTTAGAAGAAAACTGAGGAGACCCTCAAACAACCCTGAAAGCCCTGTGCATACTCAGATCTTCCTCCATGCTGTTTACAGTGGACATTCTTAGGGGAAACACATTGACACCTGCTGCTTGTGAGGGCCTTGACTGCTGCTGCCCTCCTAGACCTGGGCTCCCACGAGACAAGGTTAGAAGACTCCCTCTTTTATCCCGCTTTAACTCGAACCCCTATCTGTCAAGCTCTTTAAGTGTCCTCCCTGATCTTGTTCAGTGACGACTTCCTTTGAGGGAAGAATCTTGATGAAAGTACATGGCCATCCCCTGCCCACCTTCTGACTGGCACCGTCCCGTCCCCTTGGATTTTACTTCTGTAGTTTGTCTGGAGGCCCTTGCCTATCAGTGTGCTTCCTCTTGTCGCTGGGGTTCTGCCTGCCCTTGTTTTTCTCTCTGATGTTCCCAAAGGGCTTCGCTGATGTCTGCACCTCTTTCCTGGGCGTCCCCTTACTACACCCTTTGCACACACCAGTGACCAAAGTGTATGCAGTGGTCTCAACACAAGACATCAAAATGGTGCACGCACCTCTAGTGTGCTCACAGACATGTGCACAAGATTCTGCACCCTTGGCCTTAATTTCAGCACGACTTAAGGTGCAGGAACATTTTTAACAGGTTAAAAAAAAAAAACTTCTGGGAGGGAAAATAAAGCAGATCCAAGCGCTCAACCACGCCCACTCCCTGACTCCCAACCATCTGCATCCACCCCAGCCCTGTTCTGCGCAACCAAAACCACCAACAAAAAGCAACCTGAGGAGAGGTTTCTGGACTGTTTTATCTTTCTCCCTTTCGACGGAGATACAAATGCTGCTTTGGGTTCCGTAATCCTAGGGGGCTATGTTTACATAGTGAAATTCATTCTACCAAATCAGGAAACCGTGAGTGGGAGACCCTTCAGTAATTGGTCACTGAGGCTGAACCAGAGGTGAGAGGACCTGGGGCTGTAGCAGCAGAGGAGAGATCCTATTTAACTATTGTGATACCTGGTTCACTCCTTCCTTCTGCTCTCAGTGGCCCTCTTTGCCCCTTTAATCAAAAGGTTCAGAGAAAGGCACTGGAAGGAGGCTGAAGTTTTAAGAGGCAGCTTTCCATCTTTGCACACAGACGGAAGGGACCGTGAAAAATCCTCTCATTTGAAACACTCAGCAGAACAACCTGTCAAAAGGACTAAACCGCTGCACACGTTGATGCTCTCTGCAAGTTACCTATAAGTGTTTTGTTTTCTTATACTTGAAATCGCTTTTACAATATTATTTTGGTGACTTTCTTTTCTCTCTTCTGATGGGCAATAGAAAATGCAGGTGATAAGTTTTAAGGATATTTGAGGGGAGAAAAGGATGTGGCATTGTCTTTTTTAACATAGAGGTTCAGTCAGACTCCCATATGGTAAAGTTGCTTATCTTACTGGTTTAACGTGGACACAGAAACTAGGCACTTTGGTGGTTCACTTGCACGGCAGGCCGGCCCCCTTTCTATATTTTATTTTACTTTTTTAGTATAGTGGTACTTAAAATCACTGGTTCACTTAAAAAATGTTAAACTCTACTAATGTACAAATAAGCTGAAAAGTTGCATTTTATGTGTATTTTTTGCCATAGCAGGTACTGTATTTTTCATGCTGGATTTCAATATATATATATATATATCAAAAGCAAATATATATATATATATATATCAAAAACAAACAAAACTGAAGGGTGGTGTTTTATCGGATTGTGACAGGTTGAATAATAAGGAATAAAGTCGTAGTCATTTCATTAAAACTGAGAGATGATGTAACGCATATATAAAAGTTTTCTGAAGGGTTTTTTTTTGGGCTTTTAAACAGCTTATTTTGTTTTTGTTTAGTTTTTATTTTATTTTATTTTGGAAAGATATGATTGTATTATGTGCAACTCAGTTGCTTACATTATAACTACAAAATATTTTTGAGTTCCTGGAAAAAAAGAAAAAAGACTAATAAATGTGTTTGGCTGCTAAGCATTTACTATTGTGGTTTCTGACTTTATTCTGACAGCTTGCTTTATTTGCTGACTTCTTCAATATTCTTTTTTTCTCCCCCAACTTTCCCTTCCCATCCCCTTCTGGGTCCACACAAAAGCATGTCAGAAATTCACTATTTGAACTGGGCCTTCTTCTAAACTAAGCTGATCAGTCTGTTTCTGCTGCTTGCTGCCTGTTCCAGAACTGGTGTTGCCTGCCATGGTGCACCATGGGTCATCTTCTGCTATTGCCTGGTGTCTTGTTTATGTTTGCCTAAACACTTCATCCCACACTTCCCAGTGTTCATATGCATTTTCTCCGGTGTTGAAAGTAGGGATTAAAGGCAGGATCTAATCAATGAGCTACATCCACAGGCCTGTTCCCAGGATTCCAGATGTGCATCTTTGACCATGGCATGACTTCCTGTCCTCCCATCGGGCTCCTGTTCGATGCTGTGCCTTGCAGAAGTTACATCCCGTAATGTTAGGAGCATGCTGTTCAGTGTCTGTGAGCTCCACTACATCTCTTTCCTGACACTTCAAGCAGTTCCTGTTGGGTAAAGGGGGCAAATATGGAACCTGTAAACGTACCCTTAACTCCCTGCCACAAGACCTAGACACTGCTCAACTTCCTGCATTTCTCTGAGCCGCGCATTTTGCCACTGCGTTCTCAATTTGAAACCTTTGAAAAGTTGCTGCTACTCAGGAGGTTGAGGCAGGAGGATTCGTTGAGCCCAGGAGATGGACACTAGCTTGGGCACCATAGCATGAATATCTCCCTCTCTTTGGTTTCTTTTTTTAGACAGGACCTCACTCTGCTTCCAGGCTAGCCTGAAATGCTTTATGTAGCCCCGGCTAGCCTCAAATACACCAGTCCTCCTGTCTCAGCCTCTCAAATGCTGGACTTACAGGAACAAACCACCACACCTGGTTTTACCACCGCATTGGCCCAACTGATTTCTCATGTTCAGTTCACTGTCCCCCTTCCAGTTTATATGTCATAGGATACATTTCACAATACAAATCTGATAGTCATGTTCCAACCTTTAGTGACATCCCATTAGAATAACACCATAGCTATCCTTATTTCTAGTGAGGTTTTCACGTGGCTTTCATGTACCTGTACCCCAAGACTCACTGCCTGTCCTCGCCACACTCCAGCCTAGTAACATCTCACTGTTGAGTTGCAAGGCCTCCACTTTGTGTAGAGAAGATAGACAATCCTCATGGGTGATAGGACGTTACAGCAAAAAAAAAAAAAGGTAGTGATCCACATTTGTAATTCCCTCAGAGCCTGAAAGGCCGAAGATGCCCTCGGGCTTGAGGCCAGCCTGGTCCTCAAACATACAAAAAAGGTTTTGTCTGCATTTTTATTACATTTATGCATTTGGATTGGGAGTGTCAAGAAAAGATTTTTCGGGGCTGGAGAAATGGCTCAGTGGTTAAGAGCACTGCCTGCTCTTCCAAAGGTCCTGAGTTCAATTCCCAGCAACCACATGGTGACTCACAAACATCTGTAATGGGGTCTGGTGCCCTCTTCTGGCCAGCAGGCATACATGCAGACAGAATATTGTATACATAATAAATAAATATTTAAAAAAAAAGATTTTTCAGGACTCTGATCTCTTCACCACGTAGGCTTTGGAAATGGAACTCCAGTTATCAGGAACCCCTTCATCCACCGAGCCATTTCTCTAACCTAAGGGTTTATTTTTTTGTTTTGTTTTTTGAGAGCCAGGCTGAAAAAACAAGGCCCTTAAATGGGAAACTATAAGCTGAGATGCAGATCAGTGGTTAGACTCCTGCAGAGTATTGCAGGGCCTAGACTGATGTCTAGTGTCCAGGAAGGAGACAGTTCTAAAAGCTGGAGATGTAGGTACTTAGGCTAGTGACTCACCCTTGGAATCATAGCATAGTGGAGACAGGAAGATAAAGGTTAAAGGTCATTCTTGGTTACACAACAAATTTGAGGCCAGACTAGGCTACTTGAGATCCTGTCTCAATGAAAAAGCAGGAATCAAAAGAGATTAGAGAGATGGCTTGGGTTAGGAGCTCTTGCTGCTCTTGCAGAAGACCTTGGTTCAATTCTCAGCACCCACATGGTGGTTCACAACCATCCCTAACTCCAGTTCCAGGGGATACAATGCCCTCTTAGGATCTCTGTGGGCATCAGGCATGCATGCAGGTGATGCACATACATATGTGCAAGCAAAACACACATTAAAAAGTGAATAAATTAATCAAAATTTGAAGACCTGGCTACAAGAAGGGGGGAGATGGAATACAAAAAAAAAAAATCCTGATCTGGAGAAATGGCTCAACAATTAAGAACACTGGCTGCTCTTCCAGAGGACGTGGGTTCTAGTCCCAGTACCCACTGGTGGCTCCCGCCCTCTTCTGGCTTCCCTGAGCACTGCATGCATGTGGTGCACATGCAGGCATAAGACCCATACACAATAAAAAGCCAAAACTAATTGAGAGATGCTACTTCAGGTAACGGCGGCAGCCAAATGGACCTATCTAGGCACTGATCAAACACAACACTTTGAAGGCCTCATGAACTCAGAAGGTAAGCCTTTCAATGGAAGTAGAGAGGAGGAAGGGTGGGTTGAATCTTGGGCAACCCCCATCACTGTTCCAGGGGTAGTGTGCCTAGTAGTAGGAGGCTGAGGGAAGGGAGAGGAGTTGCAGAAAGGAGAGACAGGAAGGGGGGAGAGCCAAACGCTTGCACTAGCCTGGAGGGGTGAATGAGTACAGGAAATAGGAAAAGAAAAGCTATTTGGCACAAAAGTCAAAATAACATAAAGATGTATGTTACGAATTTCTACAGACCTAGCCTGTCTATTGAACCCCCTGCACTCCCTCCACACCTTACTATGTTTTATGCAAATACAAGTGCACATTTATAGAACACAGTCTTTTTAGCAAGATAACAAAAACAAAATGAGACTATGGGTGTTGGAAGCACGCCTTTAATCCCAGCACTTGGGAGGCAGAGGCCTTCTCTGAGTTGAAGGCCAATCTGGTCTACAAATCTCTAAGTTCCAGGACAGCCAGGGCTACACAGAGAAACCCTGTCTCAAATAAATAAATGCCAAGCAGCTGGTCATGGTGACCCGTGCCTATGTCAGGCACTCAGAAGTCAGAGGCAGGTGGATCTCTATGATGCATTCAAGGCCAGCCTGATTTGCATAGTGGGTCCCAGAACAGTTAAGGTTACAAAGTGACACTCTCTCAAAAAGTCCTGAGAAGGAAGCAGGACCAAGTAGAAAACTAAAGACTAAAATTATAGTTAGATGAGGGAAAAGTAACAGGAAGCCAAGGGAAGCAGAGTGGGGGCTGGGAAGGCTGAGAATAGTTGACTTTGCAAGGATCGCTGCAGAAAGAGGACAGTGAGCCACTATAGTCATCAAAGCAGCTAAACCCCAAAACCAATCCAGAGCACGCTGTTCCAGGAACCCCAGTCCAGCCTTCTGCTGTTCAACCCAGGTCGAGGGAGACACTAAGGAGTCATGGACAGAAGCCTTGAGGAGGTGGCTCTGAGGGAGGCTGGGGCAGATGGAGCAGTGTTCAGATCTAATGTGTCATGCCTATTTCTGTTGCTGAACTATGTTTCTCTGGGTGGGTATTTATTCATCTATCCTGTGGTGCTGGGTAGAGGTGACCAAAGCAAACAGATGGGATCCCTGTCTCTATCACAGTGGTTCTCAACCTGTGGGTTTTACCGTCAGGATCACCACAACATGAGGAACTGTATTAAATGGTCGCAGCATTAGGAAGGTTAAGAACAACAGCTCTATCAAGACAGCTGTCAGTTGGCAGGCAGGGTAGCAGACGCCTCTAATTACAGCACTTGGGAAGTAGAGGCAGGTGGCTGGCTGTGACTTAGAGGCTGGCTTGGTCTATGTAACAGTTCCAGGAGAGCCAGGGCTACATACTGAGATCTTTCAAAAAAGACAAAAAAAAAAAAAAAAAAAAAATAGCTGAGTGGTGAGGAAGTAATAAGCCTTTAATCCCAGCTCTCAGGAGGCTGAGGCGGGCATATCTCTGTGAGTTCTAGGCCAGCCTAGTCTACAAAGGAAGCTCTAGAATAGCCAGGGATACGCAGAGAAACCCTGTCTCAGCAAATAAAAACGAAAACATTGCTGTCATTGGAGCTTGGCATGGGACACAACTTTAACGCTAACACTTAGGGGAACAGAGTCTGTCTGTGAGTTAGAAGTCAGCCTGATCTACATAGAGAATTCCAGGGAGCCACAGCTGCACAGTGAGACATTGTCTCAAAATTTTTTATTAAAGTAACTCTCAGCAGTAGTGTTAAGTGGGCAAATCAGGAGCTTAGCTTCCCACTACAGCAACCTGCAGCAGCTCCTTTTATCTGCTCGGGTTTGTTTTGTTTTGTTTGTGTGGGACATAGTTGTTTGAGACAGGATCTCAAGTAGCCCCTGTCGTCTTAGCAGGTCTTAACTTACTATGTAGCTAAAAATGACTGGGCTGGAGAGATGGCTCAGAGGTTAAGAGCATTGCCTGCTCTTCCAAAGGTCCTGAGTTCAATTCCCAGCAACCACATGGTGGCTCACAACCATCTGTAATGAGGTCTGGTGCCCTCTTCTGGCCTGCAGGCATATACACAGACAGAATATTGTATACATGATAAATAAATAAAAATTAAAAAAAATTAAAAAAAAATGACTGAGCTCCTGATCTTCCTGCCTGCATCTTCCAGGTGCTGGGTTTACAAATGTGTAATGCCATGCCTGACTTCTCAAAACAATTTTTTTCAGATTTTTTTATTTACTTTTTTACTAACGGCTTTTATTTCTAACGTTTGTACTTAATTGCCAAATAAAGTGTTAGACATTATGACACTTTCTAACGAAGTGACTTTCGTGATTACCCCCATCTCCCCCACATGCTGCTGTCCCTTGGAGCCTCACCCAATCAGTCTCAGAGCAATCTTAAAGGCAGGTCTTTTTTTTTATGATTCATTTTTATTTTGTGTG